AAAAGGTCGGCAAGACGTTGCAGAAATCGAGTTTCTCTCGACCTTCCTCACCCTTTCCCCACGTGTACCCTTCGATTTTCCTTCCCGCTCGCGCCTTGTTCGTTTGCGAATTTTAAATTTCGTATCTGCCCCGACGCGCGATTTTGGACATAACGCGTAGACAGTCACATGATATACGCCAGTGACAGAAGATAGAAGTCAACGAACCCAGCTCGATACGCTGATTGTAATATCGATTTCCGCCTGCATCATATGCGAATGCACACACGCCGAACGTGTCTTTTGTGATCAACGACATAGCGTACCGGTCGAGAGCGAATGGGAGCTGGTGAGTACTTGGTGCTCTTCCCCCCCCCCCCCCCCTCCTACCCTCAAGTTCCACCAATAGCGAGATTCTGTATTGGGAGGGTCGATAGGTTATCGTTCAACCGGCTCGTGGATGCCACGTGCGGGTACGTTACGAGGTAGTGTACGTTTCGTTTGTCGCAGGTTAATGACAATGTAACGTTCCGCCTGCCTTGTGATACATGGTTCTGATGGAATTGTATCGTTTATCAAACGACAATATATACCTATAGAAAGAGAAAATTAATCAATTTTCATAAGATATATCGAAGTAAACAATTTTGTAAAAAGTTAAATAATAATTTTTATACTAAGAAATTAAATTTTATTAAATAATTTTTATACACAGAAAAAAATGATTTTGCTGAAATATCTAAAAATTTAGTTAGATACAGGTCTGAAAATTGTTGAAAACTCAAGCATGATGAGTAATGTTGCAAAAAGTTTGGACATTCTAACAATCAGTTTGTTTCCATACTGCATAATTATTTAGACGGACCAAAATTTATGTTTACATCCAACTAAATGTTATACTTCAGTAAAACCGTTGCTTCCGTATAAAACTTTTTTATTATAAATATTTATTTCAATGATATTTACAAATTGTTTTAATTAATATGTTTGAACATTTCATTACGATGAATTAAATAGTATCTGTTAGTTAGATAATTGTCGCAAAAGTTAAAATTTAAATACAATAGGAAGCCGAAACTCAATTATTTGACCAAAGACACTTCTGGAAGAATTAGGTCAATGTTATATCTTATCAGCATTGATTTGTAACCGCCGCAGTGGCAGCTAACATGTTAGCTGAGGTTTAACTGATTATTCGTTTGCTCTTGGAGGTAGAGCTAGAAAGAGATAGGGAACCGTAAAAGGGTAAACGTTGAAGCTCAGCCAGTTGTAACTAACGCTTACGGGAACGGTTTAGAATTATTTGCGATAGATGTTATCCATATGTACTGCGTTGATCCTCGTTTTCTTCTGGAACATCGTCACGTGTGTCGGCTATATTCAGAGAATTAGACTCAGGATCTCGCGGAGGGCTAACGAAATTTGTCCCGGAATAGATATATACCTCTCTCTTTGTCTCTCTCGGCTAAAACGCGGCGAGGCACAGGCTGTGCTTTATTTTTAACTATACTCGCGGGATCCATACTCTTAATCTCTCATATGAGGGCCCCACGCTGGCGGGAAATGGCTGGCGGGTGTACGTGTTCCTGGTGTTTGCCCGCGTATAGGAAACGGATGTCGTGAGGCGTTTATCTAAAATTAGAAGTGTTCTCGATACATCTATCTCACTTCCTTTCGTTCTTTTCCTCTCGTTCTCTCCCGCGGTATTAGTATTATGATTTGGTCTGCTTGCCATGCACGCATTGCTTCTCGTGGCTTAGCTTTGGAGTGGAGTCACGACCGTTGAAGCGTACTTGCACATGTTACACAGCCGCAGCCGCTGCCTGTTGCTCACTGGGGAATGTCGCGTTAATTAGTGGGGGAGACTGATGGTCGTTCTCGCAGTTGACTTTACATTGATATAATAAAGTTATGCTCGCATTGGTACGATTATTATTAATGCAACAGCAACATTCTGTCTACGAACGCGATTGGATCGATGAATTAACGAGCGAATTGTTGCGTTCGCAATATTCTGTGTTGCATTGTCAGTATTCGACCATTAAAAGTACAAACTTCTATAACTAGTAACTAGACTATTTACTTCGTTGCTGTTTGTTACCAAGCAGCGTCTCCGATAGGACTTCCATGTCATGGTCACGTGATACTCTCAGATTTGTATACTTAAAGATAGTACACATACTGAGTGGACATAGACAAGCACCACTTATATTATCTCTGTCAAATAACCGAAGTGAGTCTAATTAATTAAGACTGTAATTAAAAGTCAATGTGTCGTCTGTGTGTTTTCTAAATAAATATATTACATATAATTTAAATATGTAATATAAATAATTAAACATTTACGTATATATGTATAATTATATAATGTTTAAATTTATAACTTGTTTATTTATTTTTGTAATTTATAAAATTGATACAATTATATTAATTATATGATTAATAAAAAATACAGGTTTAATTTATCGAATGAAAAATGAACAATCTCATGAACTTATCTCACAGTCGTTATAAGTTTTTAATTAAGTATAATTAATAATAACAAATACGATTAAGAATACAAAATACTATTTTATTGCTGTCTAATTTTAAATCTTTCTCTGTTCGTACGACCTGTTCTTAGATAATGTATTCTAGGACAGAAATAAATATTTAAGTTCGTCAGCCCCCCAAATTAAAGTTCAGAAAAAGTAGGGCCAAGTTGAATCTAATTACTCCATAAAGATCCCGTGTATCATAATAAGTTTATTCTCCGCGATAGGTCTTCATACTTAACGCACAAATACGCTCTGCCATCTGTTCGAAACTGTTGATTAATCTCTTATGACAACTTGCACGAGATCTAAGATGGCAAGGCAAGCTGGTGCGAAATATTCAGCAATGCTAAGGAAATCGTTCAGGTAAAAAGGGTGGTAGAAGGTACAAGTATATCAATGTGAGAGAAGCGAACCGAGGAAGAACGTTGAGATCAGCGATACGTTGACCTTTACGAGGCCAAGGTTCTCCATTTCAGGCACTACGCTTGCCTGGAAATTCGCGTGAATCCATCCTACCTTTCGACGCAAGTAAGTAGCGCGAGGGTGCGTGTCACGGCTGATGCCTCCGACTTCCTGTGGAAGTGCGTTACGACGTATATAGCTCATGATCGTCTCTTCTACTCTATTCTGCTCTTATCTGCCATTCAGTTATCAAGGATTCTGTCTTAAAGTTTCGCTTAATCGCGTTCTTTTTGCAATCCAATCCATGCATAATTCAAGATTCACAATTTGATTTTGACTCTGATTATTTTTGAAAGATATATCTTATTTATTTTTCGAGATAGATATCGAGTGGCAAAATATCGGTTGGTTTATTTTTGAGAAAATCGGGAAAAGAAAACTCTAAGTGCGAAATCTGAATCTTTTGTTGACTCTTTCTTTTAGAGGAATTTAGTTTTTTTAGGAACAAATTCCTAGCGGGAGATATAGCGACATTCTGTTCGGGATATCCTACTCGAAATAACAAATAGTATAGAAAAAGATTTGAGGTGCAAAATACAGAATAAACTATAAATTACCTGATTATCACAAAAACAGAAGAATAAATTAAAGGGATATTTGTGACCTGTAATTACACATATAGAAGGAACAATTTTGTGGAAGTATTTAAAAAAGCTAGATAAAGATCTGAAAATAATTTCGTTTGTAATCCATCAAAATAATTATGTTGAATTAAATTGATTGTTAGAATATTAAAACATTTTGTAACATTGTTGTCAATGATTAAGCGTTTTATTATAGTTACTTTGATGGTCCAGCAAAATTATTTTCGGATCTGTGTGTGTTTCTAGTTAAATTTTTTAATATTTCAGCAAAACTGATCTTTCCGTGTACAGTTTATTAAAATACTTCTGTAGCAGGAGAGATAAAAAATGGAAGATACATGAGACACATATGCTGCATGCTAACGTTTCATCGCTGAGGATGCTCGACACATCATACCCCTCGTCTTTTCATTGGTGTGATATGAAACGATTAACGACCAGTCCCTCCACATCGTATTCTTCCGGTTTAACTGCAGACTGGTCTTACATTATGTGGGAGATAGGAATGGTGTCATATACATTTTGCGAACGGAAGCAGTGACAGTTAATCAATGCGAATAAACAAATCTATATGTTTCAAATATTTCATGGAAATTATTGTATCACATTCAATAAAAATCAGAATTCTTAGTGAATTTTACTGCGGAAACGTAAAAATGCTGAACTGGCATGTACTTTGTCGGCTGTGACACCTATTCAATGAGAAGGTCGAGAACTAAGGGAATCATCCCAAAGTGCAATGTCCGTAGGCAAAACGATTTTTCTCGACGCGTGTCCCACATGGCACGCACGTGCGACCTCTGCCATGTTTCTCGTATTTCGGGATACCTGGGGTGCACTTGTCACGCGGGGATTGGACTCCACTGAGATTGTGATTGGGTTGAATGGGGAACTGCAGATGGTGGTAGGTAGCAGTTCTACGATAGTCAAAATGATAATGTCGGGCTACTGCCATACTTGATAATTCCTGATTATTACCTCTTCGCTCGCGGCACTGTAGATTTGACGGGACCAAATTGTTACCGGAACGAAAGCCGTAGCCAATAAAGAACAACCAGACGAGCAAATAAACGAACGAGTGACCGCGAGACCGCGCGTGATTTCACGGCGGCGTCTTCAAGATGACCCACATCCGCGTCTAGTTCGCATCTTGCATGCGGTTAGGAGATTCGCGGGAATGGGGAAATGGGATGCATACTATTACATATGCGCTCCTATGAAAGAGAACACGTGTTCCCACCAGCAATCACGGTTACTGGTCCAGTCTTTTGTGTATATGCGAATTTCCGTCGATGTTTCTGCAACGCGCGAGACGTGATTTTTGTGTTTATTGTGATCTCTTTCGAAAAAGACCACGGTCTTCCTGTAAAATTCGATGATAGGCAGTGAGCTGTTGCGGGACACGATCTGTCTAACGTATTTCTGTCTTTGATTTCAGGTATCTTTGGCACCTCTCATCGCGTGAATGATCAGAAAAACGAAGGGTAAGTCTAGATTAATTCTTATCGATATTAATTTCTAATATATTGTGCGTAAATGTTCATTCTGTGTCTGTTCGCACATCGTGCAGTATTATTTGCAATTTTTTTTATTTAATTAACGATGATTAAAAATTTATGATTACTTTTAAATGTCATAAAAATATGGGGTACTAAACCGTGATCTTAATTTTAATTGCAACTCTTTTGTGAAGTCGAAACTTTTCTTGATTGCTGATAAACAATCACAAAATAAAAATATTAAAAGAAAAATTAGAGTATGAAAAGAAAGATGTTAAGTTTAGTTAGACTTTTCAGTTGAATTGAACAAAATTCGATATCACATTGAAGGATTATTTAAAAGTTGAATAATACATCGTTTCATGAGAAAATATCGGAAAGAAATTATTATTCAGGACAATAAAAACATTGATAAGACATGAGGGTATTGTGAGAATTAAGCAACAGAAACTGTATTGTCATTACTTAAACACGACAACCTGAGATAAACATGCCCATTATTCAAAATTAGAAATCGAAACCGAATGATTACTCTTCGTCAATTGCTTGAAAAATATCCCAATAATTTATCATCCTTCTTTGAAACAGAAAGAGTACATCCGGGACAAGTGTTTGCGACGATGGCATTATTTACCATAAACCTGCGCAAGATATTATCACAGCTGCTGCGCTGTCTTTAGGCGTTCACGCTCTATTCGATACACGTCGTCCTTCGATGCTTTCGAAACGTGCCGCGATATCTGACCGGCGCTTCAAAGTGAATGGCTTTTCTTAAGCGCGATTAGAAATAGTCGCGCGTTTATTAATTCGTAGGAACGCGTTCTGTATAGTTCGCCAGTTGCGTGAGAATTGACCCTAGCTTTTCCGCTCGTTACACCGCCACCGAGGGCTCCATTCATGCTCGTGGTTCATTCATCGCGTTTCACTGAGAGCCTTTTTTCTCTTTAGACGCGTCGGTATATATCGCCGTTTTCGTACGTTACATCCACCTAAACTTAAATCCAAGCTCGGACCCAGTCTCGGTCCTTGCCTACGGCATTTCTCTCCTCTCTCTCTCTCTCTCTCTCTCTCTCACCTTCTTTTTTTAATCCGAAACTGGCGGGAAATGACAGCGCCCTTGTCGCTAAGCCTTTATGCCTCCCGCACTTCTGTCAGCTTCCTGTCGGCGTTTTACGCTCCTCCGCTACAAAAGAGGAAATGTTTTGCTTTATCCCACAATCTAGGACTATCACACACATTCTCTTTGTGCATCTTTCTGCGAAATAAGAAGCCTCTCTTATCACGTACACAAAAATATTGTAGTCGTGTTGATAATCACAACGCTCAAAGTATGAGACAAAATTCAAAGTAATGGGTCTCTTTATGTCTTCAAGATTTAGGAATTGATTTAAAAAGACAGAGAGACGCAACGAAGATTACTTGTTACAATTATTGAACTTCTTAAATTCTTCTTTGAAATATTTGCACAAACAATTGCTTATTATTACTTCATAATGTTAACGTCTTAAATATAAAAGAATGATTAGAAACTCTAAATATTTGCTCAATGGTGTCAACGATTTTAAGTATACTTTTCGTTCTTTGGGTGGTCCTGCAGATTTAATTACACGTGTTAGGTCTTCGATAAGATCGAAGGGTATAAAATGACATAGGATACCTGAAACGTTGATGGTGAAAAATTCGATATTTCTCGGGAACCATTACATCCCTATGCTCTTTGTCCTTAATGTGTAGCTAATGCAATAATCATATCATTATACATTTGAGATACATACGTCTATAATTTGATTGTTGTCTTATCGCAAGTCGAACGACAACAACAAAATAAATCAATTCATTCACCGAATTTGACGATTTATCGTTCGAAAACTAAAATGTTCCGTAGACGCATTGAAGTTAGCGTGTTTTGTTGTGGATAAGTTAATGCGGGAAACGTGAAGAGATATCATAATTAAGGAAGAAGCTGGACAAGCATCGGTTTTCTTTGTTGCTAGGCGGAGAATTTATTCCCTCTTCGTATACTTCGTTTCTTTAAGGACCTTTCTTGATGGGCCCAACCATCTACCCCCTCGTCTACTCCCGCGACTGGTCCCGCGTTCTTCCTTCTCTTCTACGTTCTACCGCCTCTATTTATCTTCGTATGAAGAGAAGTATACGACCGAAAGTCTACTTTGAAAATCTACTTTGTAGAACGTAGTAGAACGTGTTCTACTACGCAGCATTTCGAATGCTTATAATCTAACGGTCAAAATCTTAATGGTTAGATGCTAGAATCCGAACAGTCATGGTATCCGAATATTTATGGTATACGGTATCCAGGGTACAATTTGATTTTTTTTTTTTTAGTTAACGTTACTTATGTGGTCTACAGTGTAATGCTAGTGACGTAAATTACAACATTTATTGCCAATTAACATCAAATTACTCTAAACCATTACGCTGTATAAAACTATCATAAGGGTTTTATTTATAACTTTTCCTTATCTAAACTTATTGTTAGTTGCTAATTGAGAAATATTCGTAACAATTACCTAATATTGTAATATTTCATAATTATAATTCAAATATGTAATGAAAGGAAGAATTCTTTCCAGAACTAAGGGAGTTATTTTAAATAACAGTTTTATTAATAATTATTAAGAATCAGAAAAAAGATAATTGTCTTATTCAAAAGACGAAGCACAAGTTGTAAGTAGAAAATGAATTCTTCTTTTTCTTGGTTCTGAAAAGCGTTGATATCGATTAACGGATATTGGTGATTTTATTATTTAGATGTCGCGAATTTTAGGCTGATATCCTTTTTATCGAACAATACCGCATATTGTGTCCGTTTCCAACCGAACTGCGAGGAAGCAGCTGATTCTACGAGCGCCATTTTTGTCGCTAACATTAAAGAGAAGGCGAGCTTTAAACTTTATCTTGGTATTATGATAACATATATAAACTGCGCCCTTCCCAGGAAGTTCTATCGTGAAAAAACTCGCGATGTATAGAGCTGATAACGATGTTTGCGAGCTAATCTGGGAAATCGGAGAGGATTGAGCCGTCAGAGATGTAGACAGTCGGATCAGTTAACTAAGCAGAGAGAAAATGAAACAGAAAAGTCAATCAATTCATGAGAAAAGCAAGACATAAACTTACAATGTTCTGTAATTAAATAACTCATTTGTAAATAGTTAACTTACTCGTTATAGTGCCGTATAAAAACTGCAGAACGAAAAAAAGATTAATAATTAATAAATTCTTGTTTTTTAAGATTTATTTTTAAACATACATTCTACGAGTGATTTTTAATTTAAAATAAATGTTATAGAAATTTAGGATTTTTAAACATAAACATCAATATAATGAACATACAGCCACATATACGCAGGATATTATTTGCAAAGTCATATATTTTTAAATGAATCTTATATCGAAGCTTATATTGAACTAGAATTTTCTTTACATACAGTCAATGACCTAGAAAAGAGTTTTAAGATTTTAAGAAAACATCTTTCATTTCTTTGTGATAGTATCCTCTTAAAAGCGCGGGAAGAAACTGGTATCGTCTGCAGGGATGCCAACTTTAATGGTATATTCGTGCGAAAATATTCGTTTTGAAGAAAACGGCATTGTATTAAGAATCATATTTCGTGAAAAAATCTCAAAATGCTTAAGTTTTTATCTTATTTTTTAAAAATCGCTATCGTCTTCACGAATCGTCATTAAAAACAAAAACTACGCTATAGGAGTTAAGGGAAAAAATTTATATTTAAATTTGAATAATAAAGGCTACGAATCAACGTAAAATGTAAAGTGCTAACATTAAACTTTAATAATTTAAATTTAACCAACAAACGTTTCAACATACATTAGGTCATTTTCAGTGTGGTTACACAGTTAAAATAAAATTAAAAATAAAAATACAAATAAAGTCACATTATCGTTTATACATATCTATATAAACATATGTACAAACCAATTGTTTTAAATCTTCTAAAAACATGAATACTTTGCTCGTAATTCTTCCATTATTCATCCTCGGATGATTATAATAAAGTTTTTGTTGTATAATAATGACGAAGCTCCCCTTAGACCCAATGTCATTTTGCAATTTCAATTTGGTGGCTAGTAACAAAATCTTATCATTGTAATCAGTAAAATGTTAAATTTAATTGTCAATTTTTTAAATAAATTTGAAAAGATTGCAAAGGTCCACTTATGGTCAACTGTAAAATTTGTTACAATATTGTTTCTCTCAACCATCACAAAATAAGACTTAACTGTTCGAAGGTGAAGTGAAAAATAATCCTCAAATTTATAATGCTTTTCCTGCTCAAACCGCAAGAACCCGTATAAACGCTTTCATTTAAATGTTCAAGAAAGCCCCTGTTGCTACTTCGTTATGGTCTGGTCATTGTCCTCGTTATCTTCCTATTATTTACGTCGACATCGCTCGGATGAGATGTTGTCGATAAGCCGCAAAGAGAGCGAAAAATCGCAGTAATCCACGGAGATTTGAAGACTTCCGCTGGATTCTCCCGAATATCGGATTCCTGTATCTCGCGACGCGGGAAATTTACTGTGCGTATCTCACGGCGAATGCAAATGCTTCTCATCTACGTCTCACGGTTCCCAGAGGCGTTGAATCTTCGCCGAACGGCATTCCAAAGAACGACGCTTACCATTGGTCAACGTTTCCCGCCAAGACGTTCCGGTATGGGAACCAGTTTCGGCCCGTCGTCGCAGAGACTCTTCCTTAGTTAATCGCCATCGATGCACCAATACATCCGTCCTTCCCATTTTTCTCTCTTTTTTCCCCCCTCTGTCTGTCTTGTTCTTTTGAGTTCATTCTTCCTCTTCAACGACTTTGTCGAATTATTTTCTAGACTTTACGGTTTTTCTTTCCACCATTTTCTGTTTTCAACAATGGCAGTTGTAAAATGGAGACACTATTTGAATTGACATTTTCTGGTCAATAGAAATATTGATATGAAAGTGAA